CTAAGTAGGAGAGGTTGAGCAGGGAGTGGAGCCCATGTGTTAGGGCTGAAGAGAACTGGGCACACATTTGCCTCTGGAAGCACTGAGGAACTGGACCTATCCCATGACCCAACTCTCCTGCTGCTGCAGAGTGCACTCCATGTCTGCTACCTTCCTTCATGCTGGTGTTTGAGGTTGCTTACCTTTCACAGCTCAAGCTGCCACTGAAGTCAGTGGGAATGTGGGCAAGTCAAGGTGTGCAGGATGGACTCCCTAAGGAATGTGGTTAAAGCAGCCACATTCCCAGTGTCCCATGCAAAATGTGCGTGCAATGAGTTGGCAAACAGTGTTATTCTAGCTTTCGTCAGCAAAAGGAAAGGTAACTGATTTATCAAGAAGCTAAGGCTAAAAATCTCTCCAGAGGCAATGGAAATGTATGTCCTTCCACTGACCTCTGAAGATACATGATTTATGGGAATACCCACTTATTTACGTTAGTTCCCACAAACAGACCTGAAAAAAATTAGCCCTTGATCTGTGATGGCAAAGGGCTCCACAGAGGTAAAGTCACCGAGGAAGAAAGAAGGAAAAATCAGGTTCAAAAGGAACATATAAAACTAGAAATACATTGAAGGGATAGAAAATAGTTTGCCCTAAGTAGCGTAACGGAGTATCGCTTGGCAGTGCTGCTAGGCTGTGGATGGACAGAGACACCCAGGGCTTCCTAGCAGTTTGGTTTGGCTGTTAGTAATTAGGAACTTGAAAGGAAATGTGAAAACACAGTAATAATAATTTCATAGTAAAAAGAGTTTCAACTCGGAAGTGCTACAGTGCCACAGACCTATAGCCACACACCTGAGCTCCCTTCCCAGGGAACCTCCATGTGCATCCTTCCACTTGGTGAAGTCACACTTCACTTTGGAAATTCATTCTTCACAGGATGGTTACCACCTCTCAAGGCTGCGCTGGGTGTCTGCTTGCCACCACTTGCTGATGGATCACAGAATGTTTAGACTGCAGGCCTGGAACAGGGTGCCCGGAGAAGCTGTGGCTGCCCCATCCCCAGCCATGTTCAAGGCCAGACTGGACAGAGAGGCTTGGAGCCCACACCCTTATGGTGTTTCTAGAAAGGTGACCTGATCCTCAAAATGTCCTGTGAAATGATTTAATGCACTAGACTGGACAGTATGTAGTGCCTCTGTCTTGGAAAGATGAAGTTTTGTTCATTCTTAGATCTGAACCTGAGATGCAGAGGGTGTAAATGACATGCACGGGTCTGTTTACCCGTGCCCTATAGCAAATGCTAGTTCTTAAATTCTCTTTTAAAAAAGGCTTGATGAAATTTAACCTTCCTCCTTGCAGTCCCAGCACAGCCAGCTCCCCTGGACTCAGGCACGAAACATGAAGAGAAGGAGCCATTTCAGATATCAGACGCAAAACGCACGCTGCTCTACATGTAAAGGAAGTGGTGTGAAAACAAGATGGATCACCACCAGTTTTGATGTGCAGTGCCTGAACTGATCTAGGATGGATCTGGGAACTGAGGAAATGGAAAGTAAAAGCCCTGAAGCCATCAGAAGTAGATCAGAAGAAAATGAGTTTGTCTAGAGAGTGAGAAGTCTGATAGGCCATGCTCTGTGGTGGCTCTGAACCATGAAGTGGGTGTTCTGTGGTGCCTCAGAGGTCTAATCTCAAGTTACTCTTTGATCTCCTCACAGTTCTATGGCTCTAAGTAAAGAAGCCATAGAGTCCATCAGAATCAGAATGTGACAGCCAGATCTGAACTCTGGGTTTGGTTCATTTCTAGACACAAACGAAAATGTATTTGGTGGCTTAAGTCTCCAGCAAACAGGTGAGTTGGCTTTCTTCAAAACCACTGTATAACCCTGCATGATTGGCACCTTTCACTTAAAAGAAGCCTGAGCTCCATTGGCCAGCAATGAATTAAATTGGCAATGACTTAGGGAGGTTTGTAAAGCAGTTGGCTCTGTTCGAGGCTTAGATTCTCTCATTTTCATGAACCCAAACCCACACTGGAATAGAAAGCAAAAGAATAAACCACCTACCCAGCATCCGATAGAAAGAAAAATGCCATTCTTCTTAAAACAAGCAAACAAAATCCCTGTTAATGTGATAATCTTACAATAACTACTTATTTCAATGAACAAATGACACCAAGACAAGAAGTATCCTGGAGTCAGAGGCATGAACTTTTAGCTGGTAGGTCAATGGTAACGTATCTTGTTTGTACAAGCCTGACAAAGATCTGCTGAGCAATATCCACTGGGGCCAACAGTGCTTGGCTGTCTGCACTGTGGTGGAGAGACAGACTTGGATAACGGTGTCACTCACTCCTTCGGCGACACCAGCCAAGCATAATGAAGCATGGCCAAAGCCTTCTTCAGCATGATGGCAAGAGTGAAATGCTGAAAAGTCCTAAAACGGGTTGACATGGATGAATTAGAATGAAATGGTTGCAGTAACGATGATCTGAGACGGCATGTCCGGCGCTGAAGCCAACACAACCCTGTTCCAACCCCCTCTTTCCTCTCTAATGGCCTTCTTGCTGCATTTTCATGTATGCTGCAAACAGTTATGCAAGTTCGTCCAGCCCACAGGGGTGTCAAGGGATGTCTACACCGCAGACTGCAGCATAACACTGAGGTATCTGGAGCAGTTCTAAGTGAGCTAATCTGAGTACCTCTGGCCATGTAACTGCAGCTTCAGAGTTTGCTTTGCAGAACGAGTTTCTAGTGTTAGTTTTAATGCTGATAATAGCATAGTTTTGAAGGGCAGCTTTGCCTGGCTTTTATCCTATTACGGAGAATCAAAGTTTCACTGGGTACATCTAGTAAATTCTAATCTTTATAGAAACTAAGCTACGGTATCACTCCAGAACACCTTAAACCATTTTCAGAGCAAGGCTGGACCAACAGGTCAGCACCAAATTTCTGGGGTTAGACTCTCTTTTGGACTGTGTTCTTCCTGCAAACCCACTAGTGATGAAGTTGTGTGAGGCAGCAGATCATACTGGCTTTGCCTAAGGTTGGTGAGCAAGGTCAGTTCAAGGGAAGGGTAGCTCAGCCCTTGGAAGCTCCATGTGAAAATCAGAAACATAGACCGAACCTAAGGAACCTGGTTCACCCACAGCAGATATCTTTTAAACCAACCAACAACATCACTTCTTCAGCCGTGAGGAAGAACTCAAAAAAGGCAACATGGATTACTTATTTTCTTGTGATCAAATGGAATGAATATAAGGCCATAATCATCATGGTCAAGGACAAGGAGGATGCGATGGCTGAGGACGACTTCCAAGTGTAACTGAACAAGAGAAGGAAAGGGATACACTGTGCAGCACAGTTCAGTGATGATAACAAATTAGAGCACTTCTCAGTTCCTAGGTGTTGGTTTGGCACTACGAATGACCCGAGCAGGAAATCTTAACATGTTATTTGTGTGGAATGTACTCAGAAGCTGCAGGAAGCCACAAAAATTAGACTGATACTTCTTTATTTGTAACACTAGCTGACGGCTCTTTCCAGTCCTTCTCCTTCTCCAATGCATCTTAGAAAATAGCTTTGAAATTCATCAGACCTTGGACATACAGCCCGGGTAACGTTCCAGCAAGTAGCCGTTTATTTTATAAGGGGATTTAAATATTGTAAAAGTGAATAAAACGCAGGTGTTTGCATTACAGACAAGTGAACCTTGTGTAAGCTCTACAAAGATGTGGCTTCCAGATTAAAAGGGCTTTGCACAGCTCCCGCTGCCTCTGTGGAGGAGGTGGATTTTTGGATCAGCAAGTGAAGCGTCTTCCTTTGCATGACGAGGCCCCGGATTCAAACCTCTGCTCTGTTTGCACACCAGGGAAAGGCAGGAAGTAAGGCACATGGTGACCATATTTGCACCTGCACAAGGTTCTTAATTTTGAAATCTGTCTGAGTAAGTTCAGCCACCAGATTGCCCAAACACAAACAACTGCTGCCATGCAAGGATGAACACTAACCCCATATTGTGCTACTATTCAGATGGTCCAGGCCAGGCTGCTGCCAAGAGATGCTGGGATTAACCAAAACAGGAACATAAATACATGGGAAAAATTGATCCCCTGATTTTCACACTGGATTTTGGTACAAAGGAAAGAACTAACAGCTACCTCTTGGAAAGCTTCCTCAACGAGCAAAACCAAACCTTCTGGCCCATACCGTACCAGCTTCCTCAAGAAGAGAGCTTATGTGGAAAACCTTAAAACAAGGCTTAAAGACAAGGCAACTCCACCTGTGTTAGTTCATTGACTCCTGATTTACACCAGTGAAAGTGAACACATAGCCAAGGTAATACTAGTTAATTATTAAATATATAATCAGTGTAACCATGCCCTCTAGAGGACTAAGTTTACCTCCATAGAGTCAAAACCAGCCTTTGGGTCTGAACACTCTTACAATTTGGGGGAAAGGCATTTTGGATGTTTGTAGTTTCCTTCCTCATCTGAACCTAGCCATGAATTTCCATTTCCTCTTTGGCACAATACCTACAACAGGTTGAAACAACCCCTCAAAATGGCACTGGCAGGTGAGATTTAACTTTAGCACCCACCTGGTGTCTCTGCCAAACAATTACTTCAGGTAATCCCCACCTAGAGACTGAAGGACTGATCTGAGGTCTTCCTCTCTACTACTTCCATAAGACATTTGACCACTTTGCAAGGCCTGACCCAAATCAATATGCTGAGTATTAAATGGCTTTAACCTGCCAGAGGGGAGACTGAGATGAGCTCTTAGGCAGAAGCTCTTCCCTGTGAGGGTGCTGAGGCGCTGGCACAGGGTGCCCAGAGAAGCTGTGGCTGCCCCATCCCTGGCAGTGTTCAAGGCCAGGTTGGACACAGGGGCTTGGAGCAAGCTGCTCCAGTAGAAGGTGTCCCTGCCCATGGCAGGGGCTGGAGCTGGATGAGCTTTAAGGTTCCTCCCAACCTAAACCATTTTATGATTCTATGAAATAAACAATGTTCATTTTCTTACCTCCTGCTTTCCACATTTTCCTTCCTTTTCTTCTTTCTGCATTCACTGGCAATTTCCCCGCTCTCCCTTGGTCAGTGTGGTTTTACATTCCCAGTTAGCCTGAGCTGCAAAAATGAGAGTGAAAGGAATCTGCGTGCAGTTTGTTTGCCATGGCTGCGATCACCCCAGCTGGACAGGATGCTGGTGGCAGGATCAGCAGTGCTCGTGGGTATTCGCTGCAGGCTGTAGCACAGTCCTAAAGGAGCCAATAAACGCTTGTGGAGTTCAGTCTGAAACTCTTTTGGCTTGAATGTCCACATTTTTTGATCAGGAACCACTGTGAGCCACACATCACCAACCCTGTGGACAGCTACCCTGAAAAACAAAACCTGGAAAGGAACAGGGGAAGGGTCAAAGCTCTGAGCTAACATGATGCAACAGAAAGGAAACTCTCATCAGTTCAAGAGGTTTCTGCTGGTCAGGTTGGTCTATGCAAACCCCCAGATACTCCCCAGAGAGTCCTGCAGACCAGCCTAGGAATGCAGGGCTGGAGTGACGGCCTCCATTCAGGCTGGTGAGGGAGGCCACAGCCCTGCTTTCTATGAGAGAATATTTGGACACCTCTTCCATGACACCTTAGCTTCTGTCTCATGGGACACTGCTCCCACATAGCTCAATGGACAGATGGAATTAGAGCACAGCTGTATTTTAGCAGCTCTTTGAGTAAACCCAGAATAGCTCAGAAGTGGGATTTTCAGAGCCTGTACCACTAGCTTTGCTTTTGCCATCGAGCCGTTGGGATGTCAGGCACCGAACACCCTGCAGCTCTCGGAGGTTTTCAAATCCACTCTGTGGATGTTTTCTTTTTTAATTCATTTTTTTTCTGACTTTTCTCCCAGTACAAAAATATGTGTTTTTTCCCTTGGTTACTTTCACTCTGCTGACCTGGTTTCTTGCCTTCCTTTGGAAACGTTTAGGTGGCTCAGCAATGGAGAGGATGAATCAGTTCACCCACAGTGAACATACAGTGGGTCTGGGAAAACCCCGGCAGAGTGAAGCGTGTGGGGAGCAGAGAGGATTGCAGAGCCTTTGGAAATGGCCTGGCAATGAACGGGGCTATCACTTTCCTTTTCTCTCTGAAGTTTCATTAGCAGCCAGTATTGCTGCTCCGAGCAGACGCTGCCCTTGCTCTTAGTTCAGCAGGATCCTTGTGCCCAATTTAGTGGACAAAACTCAAAGCATTTTAACAGCAACTGGAATACACAAAACTATTGCAAATTTTCTAGCAACAGGAACCTGTTGGCATACAGGAAACTGAAGGATGATTTGTTGGGAGGGTGCAGGTCTAGCCCTCACATAGGGCTAAGCACGGAGGCACTTACTTAGGTTTCAGTTCATCCTCAGAAACAGCAAGTGCCTCATCTTGGGATCGTGTCTTCATGGTTCACTGCTTGGTCACAACCCACTGGAGACATGGCCATTTGCTCCATCAGCAACAAACACACCTGAGAAACAGGCAGGGATGTGTAGACAGTACATTAACCAGGAAAAGACAGGCCACCTTCGTCAAGTAATTCTATGATATAAAGGACACTGAAAATTTGACACACAAATTCTGAATGCAGAACATGATAATCCAATTACTGGATTTTTAAATTAAAATCCAGCAGTATCCTAATGTATTTCTTTGTATTCTTTTTAAAGCATCTTCCAAGAAAAGAGTGAATGATCTGCAATTTAGGTGACAAACATTCTCCCAGCACCAAGAGTCCTGTATCCTGGCCCTGGGGCAGGGATGCACATCATCTGAAGCAGTTTGAGTCATCCCACTGCCTTCAGCCACACTAGTCATGGGCTCAGCTTAAGCTCACCACTAAGTACCACGTGCAGTCAGACCTTCAGTTCAATCAAGAATAGACGTTTCATGCTCAGATTTACAGAAGCTCCCTCCATTAAACCAGTGACACGTGCCTGCACCCTGAACATCTGCGAAGTTCCTTATAAAATCACATGTAGATTTATTACAAATACTTTTTTTTACCCTGAACCAGTTGAATCTGAATCAAGTGAACGGGTGTGCTGAAGACTGAAAAACAAGAGTTTTGTAAACTGATAATGCTAACACTGAGTAACATGCTAGAAAATGGTAAATATAATTCAAATTCTCCATGTTTGCTAGAGCTGGTGACTGACATTCTGGTTTACAGCATGAGTAAATCACATCATAAATGAAATTTAAAGGTAGTTGACAAAATATCCTCATGTCAAACGGATGAGATGTGGGTTCACCGTTCGAAAATGTCATTCTTTGGCGCTGCAGTGTCCCTTAAAGGCTAATCTAAAAGAAAATTAAATTAATCTCATGCTCACCACCTTTAAATTGCAGGAGTGAAAAACCTTTCAGGACTTGCCAATTACTAAGGAAACTTCATAGCTGGATTATTCCCAAATTGCACACCCTTTATTTTAACCACTAAAGGCAAACACATGGTTTTGATGGGTCGTAAAAGAACAGGTTGCTTTTTCAGTACTGAAAGAAGCTGTAATTACTTCCCTTGTTCGGTGACTTCCTGATTTACTTAGGTTGTTATGGGTGATACTATTCTGCTAAGGTAATTGGAGCTGATGACCTGAGGGAATGACCAGTGGCTTTTCAGTCTAGGTGACTTGCACCTAATGAGTAGAGTCCTGCTTCCCAGGAAACGAGGACACTATAACTGCCTTAAGTGCTTGGTATGTGTGTTTTAAAGGCTTATGTTTCGCAGTCCAAGCAGATTCTGTCTCTGTATGATATCTGCAAACCGAACAGATACAGCTGTTTCCAGATACAGCTAAAATAAAGGTATTTTCCTCAGACAGAAGCAGGAGAAATAGAGCACGCCAGGAAGGTGAGCTTCAGTCTCTAGACATCCAAATGCCAACACACAAACACAAGGAGGTAACCACCAGCTCCTGAAGTTAGTTCTTGTCTGTAACACAATACATAATAAAACATGTTTGTAATGAGTGGCAATGGGTTGTGCCAGTAGGAATTAAACTATTTAAAGAGTTAGAAGTGAGACCTCCTGAGTTTTCAAAGGCTTCAGGAGGGCATCATCCCTGAGCCATCCCTGGAGGAGAGTTAGACTCTTGAGGGGACTGGCCACCCCTCAACAGAGGTCCCTTCCTTCCCCAGCAGATGAGACAGGCAGCACCCAACATCTCCGCAGTGCTGCCCAGAGAAGGCATCTTCCTCAACTGACAAAGGCAATGTCTGGTTTAGCTCCCACTGTTGCTTGGCTCTGGTTTTGCACATTTCTGGGGCTATGTGTTGCATTACCTTTCTCCTCAGAAGCACAAATTTTGACTTGCTGCACGTTGTCTTAAGTTGAGATATATGATTTAAACCTGTGGTTCCTGATTCTAAGTATCCCAGATCTCATGTAGTTTGAAACTAGTGCTGGCTTGGCTTACTGCACAATAGGCTACTTGCGCCAAGTAAAGCGATGGGAAGAGATTAAATGAGCCAACCCTGAGGATAGAAGTCCTGTACCATGAATCATGCACACCTTTTCCCTTCATGTCCCCTGTGTAGTCTGGTGGATCCATCCAGGTATGAAATTTTGCAAGAGGTGTGGGTACACAGGGAAGTTACAGTGAGATAAACACAATTTATACCACTGTGCAAACCTAATTTACAGCACCTTGTAGTTGTCTGTTAAGAACAAAAGCTCATGTACTTTCACTCCAGGAGAAAAGTAAGGATGGGCAAAGTTCTTTACTGTGAGGGTGGTGACGCCCTGGCATGCGTTGCCCAAGGAAACTGTGAATACTCCATCCCTGGAAGGGTTTACGGCCAGGTTGGATGGAGCCTGGAGCAAGCTGCTCTAGTGGAAGGTGTCCCTGCCCGTGGCAGGGGTTGGAACTGGATGACCTTTGAGGTCCCTTCCAGCCCAAACCAGGCTGGGATTCTATGACTAAATAGCAGCTGACATGCTGATAGTTAATACCTAAATTAATCCCACAGTAACTCAACCATGTCCACAGATTCATAGTTTTTACTAGAAGGTAATGCATGAAGATGTTGATGTCCTAAACCTTGGTTTGTAATGCACTCAGCATCTATGACTGATGTTAAAACACCGACCAGGAAGGAGTTTGGCTATGGCATCTCTTCGAAGTGGCCCAAATATGCCAACACTAAAACAACCCAACTCATACAGCACCTTGATTTCAGAAGTTATTTCAAGAGACATCGTGTCTCTTACTGCAAGAGACTGCAGACAAGTACATTTACAGCTAAGACTCTTCAGCACCTGCAGGCACCACCAGAAAGCCTCACATACGGTATCCAGATGTCCTGCATGGCTGGAAAAGGCATAGAGCACAGCATCCTCCAGCAGCCACCATGGAGGGTGCTCCTTAGAGAAGCAGGTGGCTGGTTCAGTGCTGCAAAGGCTCATTCCCCATCTTTGCTTTCCCAAAGTTCAACTGAAAACCTACTCAAAATCCTAGAAAACCTGGCCATTTCTTTAAACTATCCTAGCAGTTTAAGCTTTCCTTGTGAAACACATCCAAATTACATTTCCTGTGGCTGGCGTACATACTGGATGCCAGAATAGCATTATGTGTCATTTTACTTGAACCCCCAGGTCAAAATTAGTGATTGAAGAGAAGCTTTATGATGTAGGGAGCTCCAGGAGCCTTTGTTAAGTTAATCATTTGAATAACATCACCATGAAGGACTTAAAGATGAGCTGAAGGACAAATGATTTCAGTTCTTTATGGATTCAGAAATAGCAAAAACAGAGCTACTGATGATAGTGCTGAAATAACATTTTTGGAAGGCAGGAGTTAAAGCTCAAAACCTCAGTCTGAGCTTGAGAGGGCACCCACGCCTCTGAACACACACAGCTCAACCATGGAGGAAACCCAGAGAGGTGATAGTGCAGAGACAGAGAATACATTCTCCTTTGCAATGCTGGGTGTCAGGGGAAAGGAAGTGCTGTTAACTGAACCAGATAAAATGCCTGTACTAAAAGCCATGTTGGCATAGTTCACCCACAGCCAGCACCAACACTATGTCCCACTACCGCAAGCATGACCAAGTGAAGGTGAGTCCATGAGGTAAGATACCACCCATGTTCTCTACTTTGTTAAATGCACCATCTTACATTGACCAAACACTCAGATCATTCCCATCAAAGCTCCCGGAGCAGCTGAGGGCTGGGAAAGCAGATCTGTTCTAATCTGTGTGGATTACGGGACACCAGAGCTGTGCGTCAGCGTCCTGCTGTCATTCCACCTGAAGACACTTCCTCTTTCCCACCTCCCAAGTCAAACAGCCTTATGAAACAGCAATGTATGTCCACACAGGATGTGGTGAGGACTGAAGTTTCAGCCACACGTGGGTGAGTAGAGTCTTATAGGTTAGAAAAGCCCTTTAAGATTACAAAGCCCAACTGTTAACCCAGCACTGCCAAATCCATCACTAAACCATGTTCCTCAGTGCCACATCCGCAAGTCTCTTCAAAATACCTCTAGGTACTTGATGGTGACTTCAACACTTTCCTGGTCCAATGC